AAGAGTGAGGAGAGAGAGAAAGTGAGAAAGCAAGCCACCAGGTCTGGGACTCCAACCGTGGCCAACCATGTGGGAGTCCAGTGCCCTTATCCACCAGGCCACCTGCCGGCCCCTGAGATTCAGCTCTCAATCACCACACCACTGGTTGACCTCAGAAGGTTCTCCTTTTTTTCCTCTTATAACTCCTTCCTTGGTGGCTGTAGCTAGCTTATTTATTTAGGCTCCTAAGAATAGATTGTGTAGATCTTTTCCCAGGTCTGTTGATGAGATCACATTGGCAGCTCCAAATTAGTCTTTGCTGGGCATATTTACACCACAGAAATTAGCCAATGCTATAAATCAAGGATATCCCCCAGACTCCATAGAATTGAATTGCCAGTATGCCACTGCTCCTGGCTTTCAGTCTTGTTTTTCTCAAAGGCAGCATCATTCTGCCTGCAAATAATATAAAATTTCACATCTCTTTGTTCTGGGTCAAAGACTCAATTTCTAGGTGAGGGATAGAAAAATTATCTCTGCCTCTTCCTCAGATCCAAAGCCTATATGAGTTAAAATTTCTCACCCTATGAGAAACTCCTCTCTGCATCCTTCTTAATAACACCCTTCAGTGTTATCCTCAGGAAAAGACCTAGCTATAAAGTATGCACTGGCTATACCAATAAAATGGAAAATAAACCAGTTTCATTAGAAGAGTTTCTAATTCTGGTTTTCAAATGCCATTTTTCTTTCCAGTGCATTTTTCTACTTCTCCTCAAAGCAAAATTTCAGTCTGGAAACCATCCCATCCCCATAAAGACCACGGATACTGATTACAGTCCTAGTTTATGTCTTCATTACTGAACTAGACAGAAACAAAAGCAAAGGGAACAAGAGATTTGCCCTTGCCAATTCATAGATACCTTGCAAGTAAAATGGGATAAAGGGAGATGAGTTTACAGAGTTCAATTAACAATTTTGTAGAATTGCTTTCCCTTTCTGTCCCTGGTACCAAAGGACTTGAGGTTCTTTTTTACCTAAAGCGGCAGGAAGACATGAGTGTCTACATAAAGGAGAGAATGCATTACACCAAAAGCTCTCCAGCAGCAGCCATTGAATGCACATCTGTCAAATCGAACAATATGCAAGTGTATTCCAGATGCACTATGGCTTCAGTAGCCCCCACTGTGGCGGGAGGGATGCTGATCAATTCCTTTATCCCTTTCATTCTCCTTTTTCTTGTAAAAAGGACCTAATGCCAATTAATTCTTGAGGCTTTAGAAGTGGATTATCCAATTGATCAATTCTTTTCTGTAGTTCAGAGGACTGGAAGGTATCCATAGCACTCTATTTTGCTGACAAAACTGAGACACTTCAAGGGTAAAGTGATTTAGTCAAGGTTACACAGAAGTAGAGCCAAGATTAGAACTCAGGTTTCTAAGGACCAGCTCACTGTTTTCCCCCCAAGATCCCTCCCCTCTTCTTTTGACTTTTTGGCACTAATGTTTATGGGCCTATTATGTGCCCCATATACCATGCTGGTTGGGGACACAGAAATTAATAAACCAGACAGCCCCACTTCCCTGCCTTCCAGGAGTTTGCAGTTCAGTTACACAGAGGCTGGGAGAGGGGCACTCAGGTTCAGGAGAGCTTTATTCCATCCAGGACATCAAGCTATTGGGACCTCTCCCTAAGATTATCAGCCTCTTGACAATCATTAGCATCTTGATTTGTGCTTAAACCAGAAGGACTGTGACTGTGCCACTTAAATATGGAATTCAATGGTCACAAAGCTTGTAAAGTTCAGCTCTGACTCAGCTGGGAACATGCAGAATTCCTGCAACAGACCCCAGCTGCCACTAACTTATCCCTCAAAGAGAGGGATCCCATACTCCTCCATTCTGCAGGCTCCCTTCAGGGACTGCGCATCTTGTCTATGATCTCTTTTTTCTCCACTGCTCCTTTAGTTTTCTGGGCATGAAAAACCTTGAAACAGTTTCAAGGAAGAAATGACCTTACTGTGGAAGGAAAAGGTGATCAGGACCTTGGAAGCACATATTTCTAAATGACCAGCATGTGGCCTGACAAGCGGACACATACTTATATATGTGAAATAGAGTCACAAAAACTGAGGCTGTCTTTAGGAATGTGTGATGTAACCTTAGGCCTTTGGAGAAGTAACAGAATAGAGTGAGAACTTGGGCTTATTCTTAGGTTCATAGCCTGACTTAGTTTTGTAGCCTTGGACATGTCTTTGAAACTCAGTGTTATCACATATAACATGGGTTGATAGTAGTCCCTACATCACAATGATGTTGAGTGGATTAAATGAGATGCAGGTAATTGTGTTTACAAAACAGCCTCTTCCACCAAGTATGATTTTGATGGGTGTTAGTTATTATTGGGGATGGGATTTTTCTCAACAAGTTTTACCAATAAAGAGGTTATAGATCATTTATTTTTCTTCATTATGTATCTAAGTCATTCAAAGAGGCTCCCACAAAAGTAAGAGTGTCGTGTTTTCATCATTGACTAACGAAGTATTTTGGTTCCTTTGCAGGGATCTAGGAAGCTTCTGGAACTTGTCAGATACCACATCGTCCCATTTACCCAGGTGGGCCTGACTTTCAACTGCTATTTTTTCCCTAATTCTAAGATATCTGACCTAGTCCTGAATTCCAGTAGTTTGGTGCTGAAAATGTTATGACATTTCTTTTTTTAGCTCTAAGAAAACCCCTTGGCATGAATACTGAGCCCCTTTCCAGTGAAATCTTCAAAGTCACAAGAACTCATGACATCAAAGTTCCCACTACTTATTTCATAAACTTTGAAAGCTTTTTTTTTCCTTTTCAGTGAAAATCTTGAGAAATCAGAGCCTTGTGTGTTTTTCCAAATGCCTCCATTGTTCTCTTCTTCTTGCAGCTTGAAGTAGCCACTCTCATTTCCACCCCTCACATCAGGAGTATGGCCAACCAGATCATACGATTTAACACAACTGACAATGTAAGTAAGAAACCCACTACTGGCGTCATTACAGTTTTGCCCCAATGGTGACAATTCATCAAGTTAGTCTACCTCTATACTAACTCATAGGCTTAAAATTTTTATGATCTCAGAAAGTAGAGGTCAAGAGGACCTGAAGTAGGAGGTGAAGGTTTTGGCCAAACTTTGAAGGCTGAGTACAGTGAACTTGAGCAGAGATGAATGGCAGAAAGTTCTGGGGAAAAGAACATGTGCAAAGACTCTGAGGTGGGACAGAACATGACTTTTTTTTAAATCTCAAAGCAGATGATATTATTCAGCTAACTCCCTTGGGTTGTAATAGCAGCAAATATCTAGCCATGTAGAGTGATTGTGTCTCCTGTAGAATCACTGTTGAGGGTGAGAATGATGACCTTATCCCCTCTCAACATATACCTACACAGTGCCTATTCTGTGCCAGAAACGCTCCTACGTCCTGAGGAGAGACCAATGAACAAACACATAAAGTTTGGGTTCCATGGAACTCTCATCTATATAAATAGGAGGATAGATCATGAATAAGTTTAAAAAGTAAAATACAGCATACATTAGAAAAATAGTGATGGAGAAAGACAGGAAACAGGGACGGGGAATAGAAAGTGAGAATGGAGCTGACACTTCAAATAAAGTGCCCTTGAACTGTCTCACGGAGAAGAAAACTTCTCAGCAAAGGTCTGAAGGAAATGGAGAAAGAGCAGTGTGGTATTTCTGGGAAGAGCAGTCCCGAGACAAGAAACAGCAAGTGCAAAGGCCCAGAGTCAGGAACATGACCAAGCTGTCTGAGGAACAGCAAGGCCAGTGTGGTTAGAACAGAGGGAGAGAAGGGGAGAAAGGAAAGAGGAGGGCAGGAAGTAAGAGGGGAAGAAGAGGTGGGGCAGGTCACTCATCGCCTCAGAAGTCAAGGTAAGGATGCAGGCTCTTCCTATGTGCGAAATAAGAAGTAAACGGGGGATTAAGAGTATAGAGATGACATTCTCTATCAGACATAGGTTTTGAGACTGGTTGCAACATTTTATTGCAATTATCAGGAAAAGAATGTTGGTAACTCAAACCAGGCTGGTAGCAGGGACATGGTAAGAAGAGGTTGATTGCTGAATGTATTTTGAAAGTAGACCCAAAAGAATTTGCTGATAAATTGGATGAGGGGTGAATACAAAGGAAACGAAAGATAATTCCTAGGATTTTTACTTGAGCACTCAGAAGGATGAAGTTACCATTAATACTACAGAAGAAGCAAGACTGGGGAGAAAGTGGAGATAAAAATCTTGGGACCAGCAGTTAGCGTACCCAAAAGAATTTGCTGATAAATTGGATGAGGGGTGAATACAAAGGAAACGAAAGATAATTCCTAGGATTTTTACTTGAGCACTCAGAAGGATGAAGTTACCATTAATACTACAGAAGAAGCAAGACTGGGGAGAAAGTGGAGATCAAAAATCTTGGGACCAGCAGTTAGCGTAATGGCTATGTCGCTGGACTCCCATGTCGTTGACCGTGGTTTGAGTCCCAGACCCGGTGGCCTAAACCCATGCCGGGCATGTGTGCATGCATGCCCAGCATGGCCATCCCCCCTAGGGGGTTATTTCTCACTTTCTGTCTCTGTCTCTGTCTTTCTGGCAAGCGCACGCACCCTATAGCAAAAATCTCTCCAAAAAATCTTTCTTGATTTGTTAATTTTCTGTTCCTTCCACTAAAACATGAACTCAAACTTGTCTATTTGTTGGTTCACTTCTGTATTTCCAGGACCTAAGGCAGAACATAATTTAAGAGCAACAGATGTACAAATGGAATTCATCTCAGAAAGGAAAAAAGTTTTCCTAAGGTCCCATAGCAAATATATTGTGATGGAATAGTCATACTTCTTCCTATTCAAGCACCTGCAAGGACTATTTTTATAAAGACACCCTTGCCTGGTATCAACCAAGAATTCATATAACATATTCAATCTTTCCCTGTCAGCCAAACCCCCTAACAGCAACCTTCCCTCCAATAAAAAGTGAGTGGGGCCAGCCTTGTGGCCTAGAAGCTAAGGGAGCCAGATCCCATGTTATCAACCATGGCTGGAATCCCAGCCCTGTAAGCTTGAAAAGCACGTGAGCATATGTGCCTAAAATCCCAACAGGATGAAGAAGGGATTGTGGCATGACCCTACCCCATTGAGAAGTGTTTTCTCCCTCTCTCTGTCTCTTTCTGGTGTGCACATATGCCTTCTGGTAGTTAAAAAAAAAAAAAAAAAAGCTAAGTGATACTGAGGGCTTTTATAATGAGGTTGCCACATTCACACTTGCCTGGGGGTTGTTGGTGCTCCTGCAGTGCAGAATGAAGGATGCCATTGCTTCTTTCCAGGGACGGATTCTGGCAAATGATGTAGCAATGGAAGAAATCGAGGTTGCTGCCCAAAATGGCCGGATTTATACACTGAGTGGAGTTCTCATTCCTCCCTCCATTGTTCCGATTCTGCCACATCGATGTGATGAAGCAAAGCGAGAAATGAAACTGGTAAGAAAACTAGGAAAAGACATAGGGGCCCTCAAACAGCTCCTCAGAGCAAACAACATTCCAGTCCTCACAATTCCAAGAAAGCTAGCAGGGACCAGCAGATGGCGTAATGGTTACATCACTGGACTCCCACATAGTCCACAGTGGTTTAAGTACTGTCCAGGCACGTGTGCATGTGTAGCCAAAATCCCAAGTGGAGAATGGAGGAGGAGAGATTGTGGCACAGCCATCCCCTCTGGAGAGGTGATTTCTCACTTTCTGTCTCTGTCTCCCTCTGTATCTCCGGTGAACACATGCACCCTATAGCAAAAATCTCTCTCTAAAAAAAAAAAAAAAAAAAAAAAGTTAAAAAAACAACAACAACAAAAAAAAAAAAAGAAGAAGAAGAAAAGAAGAAGGGACCCACGGATGGCATAATGTTTCTATAACTGGATCACTGGACTCCCACATGGTCGACTGTAGTTGAGTCCCAGACCCAGTGGCTTAAAATCATGTCAAGTGCATGTGCCCAAAATCAAAAAATGGAGAAGGGACTGCAGCGTGGCCATCCCCCCAGGGGGTAATTTCTCACTTTCCGTCTCTCTGTCTCTCCAGCACTACATGTGCCCTATAGCAAAAATCTCTCTTAGGAAAAAACAAAAAGATAGCTGGCAAACTTTTATCACAGGAGCCTCATCCCTAAGAGGCTTCTATCTTCATGAAGAGGCAGGTAAGTCTGAGGTCCTGTCTCATAAACTGTGAGCCAAGGTTCCTGGGTGAATTTCTACCTTGACAGATACTACCCAAATATATTAGTTTCATAGAGCTTCCATAACAAATTGTCACAAACTGAGTGGCTTAACACAACCATAGTTTATTCAATCATAGTTTAAGGTATCAGGTTCAGGTGCTAGACTCTCACATGGCCGACCATGGTTCAAGTCCTGGCTTGAAATTCATGCGGGGCATATATGCATATGTGCCCAAAATCCCAGGAGGAAAGTGGAGGAGAAAGGATTGCAGCATGACCATCCCCCTGGGAAGTGATTTCTCAATTTCCCTCTCAGCCTCTCTGTCTCTAGCAAGCACACGTGCCCTATGGCAAAAACCTTAAAAACAAGTTTACACCAAAACAAACTAGAAATTTAGTTTAATTTTTCCATAAATGTTTAAAGTCCCCTCATGAAGTCATGTTCTCAGCTTATGGGGAGATATGAACTTTTGGACACTATTCCACCAAAACTTCTGGATCAGATCAGAGTTTTCTTCCCCCATCAGTTTCCTCCTCCTTCTTTTCTCTGCCTCTATCACTTAGGACCACCCTGCTTTACCACAATAGCTTTACTCTCTCTAAAAGGGACTTAAAATAGAATGTCTTCCTGGGTAAGCTACTTGGCTTGAGCCAGTCAACCATCATACCGCAATTCTTTTCAGAAACTAGACTTTCTGTTTCCCTCTGAGCTCTGTTTTCTCGTTCCTATTTTCACAGAAAATGTTTGGCTCAGCCAGCTTTAATAAAAGCACCCCAAATTCCAGTGCTGCCATACATGCAATATTTCAGTTTCCATGGAAACCATTACCTCAATTTGGAGCAATAATAGGTCCAGATCTTTCTTTTTAGAACATTTCAATAATAGGTCACTGGTTGTTATGTTATCCTTAAAACATGAGACTGGAACAAGGAAAAATGGTGCTTTTTTAAATTTTGTTTTGTTGATCTGTCATCTTGTTATAAAGACTGAAAATAACTAGCTGAGCACCTGGCACAGGATTGTGGCTGATTCTTTTTATTCTCAATTTCTTAATTGATGCAATGACTATCATGTGTTTTAGGCTATTAGGGATGGGACTGGTCCTCTGTGCCAGTCAGATACCATCTGGGGAATTGGATTCCATTCTGAGCACTCCTTCTTCAGAGAGGCAGTAACCTGGTCACTCTCCTAGAGGTCCCTAGTAGGGATTTATATTTGGTTCATTCTTTGGTGGGGGGGGAGCATTGGCAGATGCATTACCTGACTTAGACCAGGCCAGCGAGAATTGTCTCCTAGCCCAAAGATGAAAATATTGGAAAATAGGGCCTCTGCAGGAAAGAGCAAAGGACTAGGAGTTAATAATTAAATGTGTCCTTTAGAGCTCCCGCACACTAAGCAGCTGCTGTTGAAGTTCAGGGGAAGTCTATGGAGGGAAAAGGGCAGCCTTATTGCCTGCCTTGTTTCAGGCCTGTTCTATTCCAGGTTGTTCCAAAGCTTATTATCCATCCTTCTGAAGGACAGAATCAAGATGTGGCTTTGAGCTACAATCCTAAGAATTTTGATTACACAGAGAAAAGAACATCCCAATAGCTACCTTAGAAAGACTTTTTTTTTTTTTTTTTTTTTTTTTTTTTTTTTTTTTTTTTTTTTTTGCTATTTCTCTAGGTCCCTCTAGGTTCAAGTCAAATCTACATGCTCTGCATGGTTCAGGATAGTTTTGATTGCATCTACGATCATTTAAATGTAGTCTCTGAAACATATTTAGAACTAACAAAGAACAGGAGTAGCTGGTACCTTCTAAAGTCTGTTTTCACCAGGTTGAACCCATGTCTGCCTTTGGGCATGCATGTTTGGATTTTAGAGGTTTAGTAAATTGCTCTCTACTAGAGTCCCTGCAGAAAACAGATTTTAATCTGAGATGGTCCAGGTGACAAGGATTTAAAGAGAAGCTATTGCAAAGGTATGGGGAGTCCTAAGCAAACCAACAAGTGATGCTGAGGCATTCAGGGAGAAGCAGTGGCAGGACACTACTAGAACCGAGGACCAAAGAGCCTGGGGGAGAGGGTATGGAGTCCCTGAACTCAGTAGTGCAGGAAGGGCAGAAAAAGTGACACCCATCAGAAGCTATATGGACACTGCCAACGTAGAGAAGGGACAGGGAAGAAATCCTCAGCCTTGCTCTCTTCCTAACCAATAATATATTGCTGCTGTCCCACATTGGCCAACATCAACTGGAAGCTGGCGGGCCCGAGAAGCCAACCTTCAGGGTCCAGCGGCTGGGGCACAGAATTGGGTAGTTACAGAATGGATCTAGAAAGATTTGGAGACATACACCCCATTTCTTACCTCCTAAATTCAGAACCTATGGAGGAGAACCCAGGGAAACTGAAGAACAGAGATTCCACATTCAGCCTCATTACTGCCAGGCTAATTGGAAAACATGGCTTTCAGTCCACGGCCAGTGCTAATATTTCACCTCCAAACAGGTGTCCCCTATAGGGCAGGTGTCTTCCTATAGGCAGAGAGATCAGAATGCTGAGGCCTGTAGACAGTCTTGCTCTGAAAGAAGGAGAGGAAGGAGCGGCTCTGAGCAGGTTCAGTTCCTTCTCCAAAAACCACCCCACCCCTAGCACTGACTTCATCTTGTCTCCCTGGGGAGGAGTCGGTGGGGGGTAGGAAGAGGCCAGGAGTGTAACTCTGGTAGAACTCCCTGCACAAGGAGGGAAGTATGAGGGCAGGACGAGATGTCCCCTTCTGTCTCCCATCAGAGGGACACTTGTGCTGATCTGCTGTTCTTTCCTTCCAGGGCACCTGCGTGAGCTGTTCCGTGGTATACTGGAGCAAATGTCCAGCTAACTCTGAGCCCACAGTGAGTGTGACAGCTTCCTGAGACCACAAATTACCCAAGTAACCCCACTAATGTGGGTTCTCAGCCTTCCTGCCTTCCTTATTTAGAAGTTACTCATTTTAACTGAGTAAATGTAAGATTAGCTCTTAGTCTGCCATATGGGGGAATGGTAGAAAGACAACCCACATGGGGCCAGTAGATGGTGTAATGATTACATCGCTGGACCCCTCAGAGTCATGGTAGTCTACTGTGGTTCGAGTCTCTGACCTGGAGCTTAAAACTCACACTGGCACATGACTGTGCGTGCCCAAGATCCCAAGAGGAGAATGGAGAAGGGATTGCAGCATGGCTATCCTCTCTGGGAGGTGATTTCTTGCTTTTTGTCTCTCTGTCTCTCTCTGTCTCTCCTGCAAGCACATGCGCCTTACAGCAAAAATCTCTCCCCAAACAAAATAAAGAAAAAGAAAGACAACCCACAAACCTGTGTTTGAATCCTTGCTCACTGACCCTGGCAAGTTGTTTAACTTTTTTATTCTAATTTTCTTCTCCTATAGATAATAATAGCAACAATATTAGTATAGGTAAAAGCCAAGCACAAGACCTAAAGCAAATAGCCTTTCAGTAAAGGTTCTTCTCAACTTTTCCCTCTTAAATAAAATTCAGTATTTGTATGTGTTTCTCCCAGGAATTATTCCGGAGAAACCTAAAAGAAATAGCAGGAAAAGTACATAGTTTCAGGCAGACAGGAGAAATAAATTCTAGCAATCTGTTTTACAGCATGAAAATTCTAGTTGAGAATGATGAACTGTGTAATTCAAAATTTCTTAGAGTAGATTCTGAATGGTCTCACTGCAAAGAAATAATAAATATATGAGGCAATGAATATGTTAATTAGCTTGATTTAAAAATCTCAAAACATATACATACAACATAACATCATTGTACTCCACAAATATGTATAATTTTGTCAGTCAAAAATTTTAAATAAAGTAAATATCAGGAAATTGACTTTGGAGCTATCAAAACCTTTTTAACACTGATAGAATTCCGCACACATTTATTGAGGATTAATTATATATTAGACATGCATTGTCTGGGAGCATACAGATAAACAAGATATTGGCTTATTGTGTGTGTTGGTTTGTCTTGAGAAGCTCAGTCTAAAAAGGAAAACAGACAGTTGTACAATAATCTATAATTAACACACCAGCTACTTTATGGCAAAAGCAAAGTGTTCTAAGGTAAAAATGACATCCGTTACTGCCTATAATTTGATCATAAGAGAGAGCTTTGGGGGAAGGGGGGGCAGGTGCAATGGCAGCACAGTTGTAACACAGTGCTCTACAAGCTGACTATATGGGAGGGTTCCAGGTTTGTGTCCAGAGACCTCTCTGAGCACACCAGGCACAGATGCCCATGATCTGGGGCTGGCTGGGGGTTCAGGGTAGATGGCAGCATGGATACCATGTTGGGATGTGTAGTATTCTGTTTGGGGGTTGCTAAGAGAAATACCTGAGTCTGAGTGATTTTATAAGGAAGGCAGAGGTTTATTAACAAACTTACCATTCTGGTGACTGAAAAGCCCAAAGGCTCAGGCCTATAGCATGTCTAATGGAAACACAGAGGACAGGAGGTGCATGCAGAGAAAAAGAGCTATAGTCTGGTCTCTCTCTTTTATATCAACTAGCTCTCTTGAGAACTAACCTCTTCTCATAAGAGATAGAACTCATTGGGTCTTATGAGACATCGCCGATCTATTTAGAAGAGTGTTGCCTCCACAGTGCAATCACCACAGTCCAATCATTGCCCACTAGGCCTTCCCACTTCCCAACATCAAATTCCAAAATATGAAACTTTGATGGACAAACTATCATCCAAACTGTAGTAGAACTTCTCTCTCTCTCTCCCTCCCTCCCTCCCTTTCTCTCTCTCTCTTTCTCTCTCTATTCCTTCCC